AAAACAGAACAGGGGGCAACAAAACAGTCTTGTCTCTGTCTCTTATACACATCTAGATGTGTATAAGAGACAGCCTCTGGGCTCAGCCCACAATCACAACAGTCTTGAGGAGGGAGATCGAGAGGAGGAAGGGAGATGAAAAGGCGGAGCCCGCAACCTGAGGACGGTACCGGGGATGATGATCAGGGCGGAAGGAGGGGTATATCGGGAAAGAATGTTGAGAGATGGAAGGAGGAGGGATGGGAAAGCAGGCGGAGGGGTATTTCGGAAGAGAATGTTGAGAGATGGGAGGGCAGGGGGGAGAAGGCGGCAGTATAAGGAAACGATAGAGGGACAGGAGTTGCGATCTGAATGAACATGAGGGGACAGAGGGGAGAAGGCGGCAGGATAAGGAAACGAAGAGAAGGAGCAGAACAAGGACAATGAGGAGGAGGAGGAGGAGGAGAATGTCGAGGATAACGAAACTTTTTGATGGGTTTTCCAAACTTCTTATCTATATTCTTTCTGGATGCTGAGAAGATCGACCGGCCAGTCAAGCTTCGCATACAGACCTCCCATGGCGTCGACGACCGACAGACAGTCTTGAGTGAGTTCCAGAAGAACAGTACGCTCTGCCTGTTTCATCTCCCTTCATCCACACCTCCCTTCTTCATCTCCCTTCATCCACACCTCCCTTTTTCATCTCTCCCTTCATCCACACCTCCCTTTTTCATCTCCCTTCATCTCACTTCAGCTCCCCTTTTCCTTATTCTTCCCCGTTGCTGGGGTATTTCGTTTTGCGGCCCTTCATCCAAGCTTGGGAAGGTAGCGATGAAGGGAGATGAAAAAGGCAGAGCTCACAATCGAGGATGGGATAGGGGAGGGGAGGGGAGGGGATGGCTAGAGCGGAGGGAGGTCTGGGTGTGAAGAGAGGGATAGGAAAGCAGGCGGAAGGGGATATATCGGGGGAGTATATCGAGGGAGGAGAGGGGGGGGGGGGGGAAGGGGGGAGAGGGTGGGAATCTTCTTATTCGTTCTTGGGTAATGGGAAGCCACTGCCGAAAAATGACGAATTGGATAAGGCTAGGATCTAATTGCGTTATAAAAAATAAAATAAAATTAAAAAAAATCGAATTGGATAAACATAAAATTCACTGATGATGATGATGATGATGATGATGATGATGATGATGATGATGATGATGATGGCTACGGATATTTTGCCTGTCGAAGTACAATTGAAGTATTAGTATTCGAAAGTAATTATCTCCTTGTAATTGGGACAGACCGGTCATTATCTAAAACTGGATAATAATGTATTTGTACCACTTACCGTGCTTGATTCAGCTTCTTCACCACTTCTAGTGCTTGATAAGTGTATTTATACCGCTTTTCGTCTTCCATACATTCCCTTCGCCGTCATTCATTATCCTCCCGTCGATTTTCCATAATGAGGAACAAAGGATGAAAGAGCGAAAAGCAGCGGTGGCCAAATGTTTTTTGATTCGGAACACGCACGACGATCAATCGAGAATTTTTTCTTTTCTTTTCTTTTTTTTTTTTTTTTTTTTTTTTCGATAACAGCCGTACCAAAAAAATATATGTAGGTGAATTGTTGGGCCTGGCGTCGCGAGAGCGGCCGCAGCGGGCGAGTAGCGTAGCGCTCCGCCACGGACCGTCGTCGTCGTCTTCGGCGGCACTACCTGACCACGTCCTCCGCCATCAAGACGGAGAGTGGGAGGCGGACATGCCCACCTCTACAACAGAGGTGTTTTGGCGTTGTCCGCTTGGGTAGTCCTTAGCATAGAGTAGGGTAGGTTTTCACCTCTACAACAGAGGTGTTTTGGCGTTGTCCGCTTGGGTAGTCCTTAGCATAGAGTAGGGTAGGTTTTCTCCTTCTTCTCCCTGGGTATTGATGCTTCAGTCGGAATAGACAAGGGCAAAGCGGTCTAGGTGCATTTCTCCTGAACTAAGCTCGCCGCGATACCCTAAGGGAGCAGTAGCGGTCGCCCTAGTACGAAGGTGATGGCAGACCAAAGGACAAACGGGTGGAATATTCCCCCGAATCCATCGGCGGCGGCAAGAAGAACAGAGGAAAGTGTAAGAGAATCGGTAGGGAGGTGTTACATGCAAGGAGTTTGCCCAGACGACGACTCGTTGGGAGAGGTCATCGAGGATGCGGAAGGGAAACGGTTCGTAGTCAACGGACAAGTCAACGCAGTCAAGGAAGCTTGGCTGAAGGACCACACAGTTATTGTTACATTCCAGGGAGGTGCAAGACAACTGTCAAGACAAGTAAAAGAGGATCTAATCAGGGCTTTTGAAGACGGGTGGTTCGTGAGAAGGCTATTCGGACCAGACGCAGAATGAGGGAGATTGAAATTCGAAGGAGCCAACGTGGCGTCGTACATGGCCAGGTCGGAGCAGATTGCCCCTGGCTCCTCCAACAAAAAGAATTAAAAATTAAGCTTCAAGAGGCGGAGGAGTACGTAGTTACGTTCAAACCTTGGCTCCCCCTACAGGAACTGAAAGCAATGAGACTACATGAGGCAGAGATAAAATTCTGGATAACAGCTCTACGGGTCCCTCTGGACGCCTATTACTATTTAAGGAGTGCAGTGCAAGGAATGTTTGGCGAGGTGCTGATGATGCACCCTCCGGAATACGACAGCTCCAGGCCGAAACTGATGAATGTTAAGTTGGATATGCCACCGGAGGTGCGGGAAAAAATTGACGACTCGCTAACTATTGAATCGCCATCCAGTGAGAGATGGAGTGTGGAAATTGCCACCCCATACACGGATTGGTGTAGAAGGTGCATGTGGTATTTCCACACAGAAGCCACCTGCCCTAGAATCCGTCAAGGCGAAGAGAGAGGTGGCAGACAAACAGTCAGACCAGGGGGTCACAAGGAGGGGTTTGCACAGCATCAACAGAGACAAGAGAGACAGGGGGGACAGGAGGGATCCCATGCAGCAAATCTGGGAGAAGCAGGCATGTCCAAACAAACAGCGGCAGTAAACAGGCCCCAAGCTCAGGGGCCCAGGAGGTCCGATCAAGGGTCAGCGAGGGATGGACGCACGTGGAGTAATCAGGAGGTGAGAAGAGCAGACTGGCCGGGACATAGAGAACAGAGTGGATATCAGATGCGAGACCACGCACAAAATTCTCAAGGAACCAGATGGGAACCAAGGGGTGCACTCCAGGAAGAGGGACAGGGAGCTTGGGACCAGGGATATCAGGGAGACCAGGGATATCAGGAGTACCAGGGTGGTGCACCCAATCGAGGAGACCTGGTAGAACAACCAACAGGTGGTCAAGGAAGATACCTGGTACCAGAAGATCGCGCGGGAGGACCACAGATAATGACATCATGGTTAGAAAGATCCAGCTGGTTCGGAGAAGGTTACAATTACAATGGGGAGAGAACGCACCTACCAACAGAACAAGCACACTGGCAGGACCCTTTGTGGGGCCCAGGTCCACAGGACCACCACCTGCGCCAGCTCTCTCACTTGGAACAGGCTCACCAAGAAGCGCAAGCCCTGGTTCCACCGGTCCGACCGCATCCTCACTATCCAGGTAACTCGTACAACTGGAGGGACCTGACACAGCACCACGGGGCCCCAGGCCCATCTTGGAGATCAGACAGACCAGGACCGCTAAGATTAAGTAGGAGAGGTACGGGCGGGGACTGGAGAGACCAGGGGGATAGGTCAGAAAGTGGAAACAGGAGGAACTGGAGGGATCGTGGTAGAAGAGACGATGAAAGGTGGAGAGAGCAAGAGAGAGAAGGACACAAAGAGGATACGCAGGCTAAGTCAGGAGACAAAGCGAGAGCCAGATCGAGAGAACAATCAGGGAATAGAAGAGATCTGGAGAAGATCCCCGAACAAGAGGAAAAAGCAGAAGGCACGCAAGGAGAGTTGTCCAAAACTTCAGCATCGTCGCAGTCCAGGGTGAGATGGGGCAGCGAGTGGTTCGATGGGGAAAAAGTGTCAAGTAGCTCAAGGGGAGAGCGATCCTCCATGTTGAGCTCGGCTGGCACCAGAATACCGGAAAATGAAGAGATCATGGGACAGAACCAGACAGTGGACCGGAGAGCTGATACTCTCCGTAAGAGTCAAACAGAGAAAGTGCAGAGAAGGTTGGTGCCTATTCTCTGTACAATGGCAAGCGATGGAGTTTATTTTTTGGCACTCACACAGTCGGACGGTTCACCAGTGCTGCCATCGGTGGATGTGGAACATTCGCCTACGCCGTTGGAGATCTTCGAATTCACGAAGTCCCTATACAGCCAGCATGTGCCCATCCGCCTGATCCCAAGATCTTCGATGGTGAGCCTAATAGTGGAATCAGGTGGCCGGTTCTATAAGCTCTATTTTCCACTGCTGGACGCCCGTGTCCCCTCCGAACTGGCAAACTCCCTGACACAGGCGGGAGTGAGATGGGTGCATATATCAAAACTGTCAGAACAGCACATGCAGGAGTTGGACCTTATCAGGATTATACCAGACATCTCAGCCCTGGTCCTGAGAAACGTCAATGAAAAGCTGCAGGTGGAGGAAAATTTACTCTCCTCTTTTCTTGCAAAAGCGCTCACAGCAGACTGGCAGGTGCTCTCTGCCTCGAACTCATCTCGCGGTAGTACACGGGATAGGTCCAGATCCTCTTGTCACTCCAGAGACTCCAGAGACTCCTGAGCCACAGGGACAGAAAGAAGGACACATCAGCAAGTCGACCAGCAACAATCACAGAACCGCATTCAAGGCGCAGCGGGTGTAGAAGGGAATGATGGATAGACTCAGGTTAGCTTCTTGGAATATCAGAGGGATGGGCGATAGGAACGGAAGATGTAAGAGGAGGGGCGTGAAATCCTGGGTTCATGAATGGAGCAGAAACTGTATTATGCTCCAGGAGACGAAGTTAAATGAGGAAAAAATCAAGGACCTGGGACCATGGTGGGACGGTTCCCAAGTCTGGTCCCCTGCTCAGGGAACGAGGGGAGGGGTCTGCATCTTACTACACAGAGACCTTCAGGTTAAAGTGATAGATAAGGAGGCAGACATATGGGGACGTTGGGCGTGGATACGGGTGGAAGTGGGAAGGGAAAAATGGACCCTAATGACTGTTTATGCACCGATGAACTTGAGAGAAAGGGAGGTTTTTTTTAGATCTCTGGTTTCCAACATTCCGAAAGTTGACAATGTCATACTAGCAGGGGACTGGAACAGGTCATTGGATGACGCTCTCTGCCCAGAGTCGGTGACTGCCAGCAAAAAGGATGTTGAAAGTCTTCTGCAACTGATTGAAGTACTGTCACTTACGGACCCATTCTGACTGCTGAACCCGGAAGACCCGGGCTTTACGTGGTTTTCCCATTTGCACCATAACAGGCAACAAGTAACCAGACGCCGCCTCGGCTACTTGCTGATATGCGATCATTTGCTGCCGAGAGTAACAAGAGTGAAGCACGCAAGCAGTCCACTTTCGGACCACAAGCCAGTCACAGCGGAAATCAGACTCCACGAGGGGTGTGAGAGGGGTAGAGGTTTCTTTAGGCTGAATAAGCAAGTTCTAGAAAACCCAGGGATCGGTGAATGGGTAGAGGATCACATGAATAGGTGGGAGTCGGCAAAGAATTATTTTGCTGATCCAGCGGAGTGGCTGGATGGAGGATTGGCGATTGTTTCAGGGATCCTAGACGTATGCTCACGGATTCTGGCCAAGGAAAGAAATGTGAAAGAAGCGGAATGCAGGAAAAGAGTTGAGGAGGCGGAAGCACGCATAGAAGGTCACCCCATATCAGCAATGGTTTGGGCGGCAGAAAGGGAACGCAGAATGGGGGAATGGGACAAAATACAGCAGGACAAACAGAAGAGATGGGCAGGGTTACTCAGAGAAAAAGGGATCGAGTGCCACGATCAGATAACAAAGGAAACTTTCCAGAAGTTGCAGCCACGACGGACCCAACAGCAGACCGTGGAACTCCGCCACCCTTTCGATTGCAACGCTCCGAACGCCGCCACTGCTACAGGCATGTTACACTACGCCAAGCTCTACTATGAGGACATCCTCACTACCAGACGCCCGCAGGAAGACCCAACAACGGATCTTTCAACAGACTCGGACATGTGGGAAGATACGAAAGTAACACTGTCAGATACTGCCAGACTAGACCTGGACCGGCCGGTCTCTTTGGAGGAACTGACACAGACTGTTAAGTCCATGGCCAAGGGGAAGTCCCCAGGCATTGATGGACTGTCCGTTGAGTTCTACATCGCCGCATGGGGTACGATAGGTCCGAAATTGGTCGAATTGTATAATCAGATATTGGTAGGAGGTCGTTTGGGTAAAGGGATAACGCATGGGGTGATTAGCATGTTATTCAAAAAAGGAGATAAGTCTGAAGTCAGGAACTGGCGGCCAATCTCGTTGTTGATCGTACCTTACAAGATCTTAGCTAAAACACTAGCACGTAGGTTAGGGAGATATCTACCGGATCTAGTGGAAGGGGACCAGGGCGCGTTTGTCCAAGGGCGCTCGATTTTCAATAACATTGTCACAGCGCTGGAAGTGTTGGAATGGGTGCAGTCAGAGAACATGGATACAGCCATTCTACTATTGGACCTCGAAAAGGCGTATGACAAGGTTGGTTGGCCTTTCGTGTTCACGACGCTGAGAAGAATGGGCTTCGGCACCTCCTTTTGCAAGTGGACAGTGGCAATGTATACGCTGTCGACATCTGCAGTGATGATCAACGGACACCTGTCAGCACCCTTCAACCTCACACGCTCGCTGCGACAAGGTTGCCCGCTGGCACCGTTCCTCTTCGTGGTTCTTCTCAACAGACTGCGGAGAAACCCAAGAATCAAAGGCCTGACTTTGCACAGTGCGACACAGTGCAAAGTCAAGGCTCTTGCAGACGATCTTTTCGTCATCAGTGAAAACTCCAACGAGTCCTTATCCTCCCTGAAAGACACCCTCACGGAGTACTCGGTTTTGTCGGAAGCATCAGTTAACTGGAACAAATCAGTGTTCCTGTTACCAGCGCAGTTTGAACTTTCGGTGCAATGGGGGATGAAAAGGATATCAGAAGGAGAGGAGGAAAGGTTTTTGGGTGTTCTGGTCTCCCTTCACATTGAGGCGTCTACGCAAGGTCTGCTGCTGCAGCAAAGACTAGCAACACGATTGAGATCATGGGTGTGGTGTGGCATTTGTCGATCATTGGGAGAGCCTTAGTGGCGAATGCAGCGCTATTCTCCATTATGTGGTTCATGTGTTCAGTTAGGGAAGTGTCAAGCAATGTCTGGAGAACCATCAAAAGCCTAGTAGCCCGCTTTATCTGGAAACCGAAAACCAAGGAGGGAGAGGGCTGTTTGATTAAAGTAGCTTGGGAACTGCTAACCTTTCCGCGATGCGAAGGAGGTTTGAACCTGGTGGAGCCCGTGAGCAAGAACCAGGCCCAGCTCAGCATGTGGCTGGCAAGAGTAGCTAATGCTGCAGAGAAGGAACATTGGATGGAGCTAGCAGAACAAATCCTCATGAAGGAGTGGGATTTGAGCCGGCCGCAAGACGTTTGGTCCTGTTTGTTCATTCACTCCTTCCAAAGGAAGCGAGTGAAATCACGTTTCTGGCGCGAAGTTCTCAAAGCATGGAGCAAACTACCACCAGACGGGCGTACCCAACCAGTAACAAAAGAGGAGGTGAAGGATCAAATTCTCTTCGAGAACCCCCAGATAGTGACTGAGCAAGGCAGCTGGTTCAAAGCAGACGGCTCAACAGCCTCATTTGGGTTGGCATGGATACGGAAAGGCGTGGTTACAGTTAGGGACCTTTGGGACTCGATGTTGGGAACATGGCGACCCCGTGCAGACATACTGGGAAAATTCTCTCCACTGAGAAATGTAGAACTGCACTGGATACAACTGCTGAAGGCCATTCCTGACGAGTGGTGCAGAATACTGGGCCCGGACGGAATCGACCCTGAAGGAACCTGGTACTGCCCAGAAAGTGAAGAGTCGGAGGAAATATGGAAGCTGATGGAAGTCTTCCCCAGTGGATTCAGGAAAGTCCATAAATGGCAATGTCAGAGGCACTCTAAGGAACTGTCCTGCATCAGCGAAGCGGTGATCCAAATCTGGGAAAACCCCCCGCAAGCAAGGGTAGTGGACCGCAGAAGAACGCCGAGAGCAAGGGCAAAATGGGTGTGGGTGGGTCATGTTCCTCTTCAGAAACTGCGAATCGATCCGGAGGCATGGAGCTGGACGACGAGTGAAACAAGGAGTCTGACGGAGTACTCAGTGGCAAAAAGCTACAACTTGAGATGGAAGAAGAACACCACAAGAACCCCTGCAGATGTGGCCATCAAGAGATGGCAGGCGGTCTTTGCTGAGGACTTATCGGAGGAAAAGTTGTCCTTCCATGACCTGTGGAAAATGCTACCCCTCCTGCCCAATGGCAAACAAGCTTCAATTCTGTGGCAGATTTCTCTGATGGTGACGCCGTCAGCTGTATGGCTCACGAGCAGAGGAATGCAAGTGGAGTTGAAATGTTCGCGCTGCAGCTGGCCGTTTGAATCCACGAGGCACCTTTGGTGGGAGTGCCCAACCTCAAAAAGAATCTGGAGGTGGTGGAAGCATCATTGGCAACATTTCGGAGACCCAGTGGTGGACTGGGAGGAGAAGTGGGTTTTATTTGGTTTCCTCCCAGAAGGTTCCTACAACAACCGTGGCTGGGCCTACATTGCCCAGGTGGCAAGAGGGCTGCTGTGCGAAATCATCTGGAGAGACAGAAATAGGGCAAGGTTCGAGAAAAGACCGTTCTCAGACTTGGAGATCAAGAGGGCGGTAAGACAGGGTTTGAGGGAAGCAATCAAGGTTGACTGGAGGAAGAGGGCAAAAGCAGGGAAAGGAAGTAGAAGACAACTACAGTGGTTCTTGGATACGTGGGCAAACAGACACCAGCTAGCAGGGATTCACAAGACAAAAGGTCTGGTCTTTTCTCCCTGGATTACGGAGTGGGTCGAAGATGGGAGGGTGTAATCAATCCTCACACAGTTTAGTTACATATTCTTTGGGAGGGGAACCAGGGCACTCGGTTCCCCATTGGAAACAGAGCAAGGCCGCAGGAGGCATTATTGTGGGAGGTGGGTGGTAGAGTGGCACCGGCTAAAGGGAACGCGAGTTCCAGTCGGCCGAAGATAGGCCGTAGGGAGCCGTGAGTAGGCTCTGTAGAACAGAGAGAAGGTAGGGTAGATAGAAGGTAGTGGTGGGGAATAATAGTAGTAACAACTTAAGTCACCAATTAGATTTAGTAAGAAGGAAGCCTGGTACTTACAGCTACAGAGAATAAGAGTTACTTGGCCTAAGAGGGCTGACAGACTGATTAAGAATGGAGTGCGCTGATGGGCGATTGAATTAAAATTGGATTAAAGAAACAAGAACTGCTCAATATTAGGTAGTTTTGCTCTGTGAACTGAGCTCTGAGTCTTTGAGTGTTAGAAGGTTGGTAGTTCGTTGTCTGTTCTCTCAGTCCCCAAACTGTAAGCGAAACTGGCTGATGCTGCCAGGATAACTTCGGGTTGAATTGTGAGGTTCCCCAGCCTCGTTTACTATGGCTTTTATAATATAATAAAAAAGTTGGTTCGGTTAAAATATATATATATCGTCAAATAGAACTGCCCGGTAAACCGTAGGCAGAGAGGGAGAAGAGGACAACAAACGAGGGGCTGTGACAAACTGTTTCGTCGGAGTTTCACCGACTCATCAGGAGGTTGAACCCTATATATATATATATATATATATATTGTCACAGAACTATTGACTAAGAGCATGAGCATGTGAAGTAGAAGAAGAAATAAGATGAGCAAAGAAAAGAAAAATGAAAGGACAGAAAGGCAAAGAGACAGACAAACCAGAATGACACTTTGTTTCACAGTATTATTATTTCTTTCAGTCTTTTACAAAAATTATTTACA